TTCTAGGTAGACTTCTCGTACTTATCACATGCAAAAATATGCATTTTTATTGCAGCTTTATTTTAATCCAAGAGTTTTAAACTTGCACCATCCAAATAGTATTAACATAATAATTATACATCGGCTTTGAATTTTGGAGATGATACCTTTCATCTTTCACCCTCTTTATATGACCAAGACCTTGGTCTGAAGAAAATAGATAAAGTGGCATTATTTTAACCATCACTTCATATTTTTCAAATTCATAGAGAGATTTAAGATGAAAAGGGACAAGCAGAAAAATTTGAATTAATAATATTTCCTCAAGAAAGCAGCTTCAGAGCAGTATTCATTTCCTTTAATTTCCATACTTGGTGGAATAGTGAATGAGAGGTTTTGACGTACCCTTAAACATTAGTATTGGCTTTCGTAAAGTCTAGGGTACAATACTGGGATAGTGGTGTGGCATAGTGGTTGGACACAAGTTATAAGTATAAGGTTGTGGGTGAAATTCTCAGGTGAGACACTGCAGTTGTATTCTTGAGTAAAATTTCTTCTCTCATTCATTGCTTCAGTAGAATGCTCAGGTGTACAAATAGGTACACATATAAGTCGCTTTGGATAAACATGCCTGCCAAATAAATCAATAAAAGCAATATTACACTGTTGAAAGAAAAAGCAAAGTTTTTCAATTTCTGGGTAAATCAGACTTCTGCCAAGACTGAACTTCCAATATACAAAACACAACAGACTTGAAAATGATTGCTTGCATGTAGACATGTTCTGTATGTTGTTTTTTGGTAAATGCAGAGTAGGGACTAAGTGTCGGGCTAGACAGCTTTGCAGTCAAGTAGGGACACAAAAACTGTTTAAACTAAGAGAAAGTATAACAGCTTCCCGACTCAGGCCAGTTTGAGATGCAGGAGCTGAACAAGAAAATGAAACAGATCAATTACCACACTTGCTCCAAAGCAAATTAGAGCAATAATTGAAGTCCAGAAACCAATATATTTACAGTATGTGTGGTGAGTTAAACTCATGTTTGTTACTTTTGATTTTAAATTAATAGACAAAAATAATATTGAAGTGTGTTAAAGTTGTCTATGTTTCATATACAAAAACACCCCCTATTTCTGAAAACATGAAATGTTAATTTAGAAATCACTCCTCATTTTCTGTGGCAAAACACAACCGGAATACAGTATCTGAGGTCATGGTATATTATTTTGGTGTATTCCTCTTCCATTAAGGAGAGAAAACCAGAGGATGTAGAATCCCCAAACATCTTTAAAACTTCACTTCCACTTTCAGAACCGACTCTTCAGTAAGAAGAGAAAAATGTTTTACTGCATTCTACAGCAACCCAACAGCTGGCATGGATTTTATTCTACATTATGATTTGTATTTTGACATTTACTTTACATATGATTATGATATTACATATTTTCCGTTTGCAATCAGAATGATCATGTATTAGGGTGAGGGTATCTGTAATCCCAAAGTAATACGAATTCTGCACATGACTAATGATATTCATGAGCTGTCCCTTACCACAATACCACATGTGTGTTGTCGATTGAAAAGCCTTCTATCTTTCCTGCTATTCAGGGTTACAGAAGAATAATTAAATGTTCTAAATGTATCTATTGGTCTTAATCATCCTATTTTTATAAGCTAGACTTTCTATTTTATGTTCATTATTATTGTAAGTAATATGACATCGCTCTTATTTTCTCTTTTAACTATTACGGCTATTGTTATTATTGTATTTCTTAATATATGAGGCAGCCCACGCCTGTAAAGATATGTATTATGGAATGTTTTCATATTATTACAGTATAATTACATTTTTTTTCTAGGAATGAATATTGGTAATTTAGAATGACATCTAGTATATATACTGTACATTGTAAATCAAACACATAACTTTTCAGGAAGTACCCACGTAAAGACAATGGCAAATGTTAATTCATAATAGTTTGATAAAAAATCTTAGTTTGACCCAGTAAACCCAGTAATGAATGAACTGTCCACTGGAGTGTATATGGTGACAAGTGAATCAGACTCACACAGCTGCACAGCTGTGTTACTCCAAAGTGTATGATGTGTGTGGTTGAAAAATTCATGGGCAATAGTCACAACAAAGAGAAGTGAGGGACGTGGGACAGTTTCTCTGATTTGTCTCAATTTACAGTAGTGGTTATGTAAAATAAACCACATTTGCAGCTTGTCTGATTCAGCCGCTAAAAATATTATATGACAGCTATGCATAATAGCCATTCTTTTTAAATCAATTATAGTGATACTTTGCATTTAAAATAACAACATTAACCGTGATGCATGTTTTCATCCATAAAAAAACATAATTTATTCCATTACACATTCCACTTTATTGCCATTTTGCATGAGGCACAGCAAAATTATTTTACTGAACCTTAAAAATCTACTAAATTTAGAAAAAATGTCATCCAAAGAAGGAATAATAATATTTGTTTTGCAGAATAGATCTATCTACAGCATATATCGAAAAAAATGGTTGAAAGAAAGAACTAATCAGACATTGAAATGCAATTGGTATTATTCCACAAAACATAGTTCTAATTATTTTCTGTGTCATATATTCCCCGTTAAGCAATATCCATAGCTGGGTTATTTTCCTTTAAAAAGTACAATTATGTCTACTGTTAGAATTGTTAACTGAATATGAATTTCAATTAAAGTCATTTAGAATATGGATACATAGTACCACACTGATTGACACTCTGATTAATGTTACTTTTCAGTTTACCTTTATCTCATGACCACATTAATAAGGGTAAAAGGGGTTCAAGTAATTCTCTCTTTTATTGTCATTAACCTTTGCATGGGACATAAAACTTTAAATCAGATTTCTCTGTGTTAAAAGCCCACTGAAAGAAAGACAATGGACTCTTAAGCTCCCAAATAAGTATCAGCTTAGATTTCATTAAGCAAACTGCCCGCTAATTAGTCATGCACCATAAATCAAGTCAGCAATTCTCCTTCAGGTTTCTTAATTGAAAATGATTGTTTTCTGCTGTATTGTTGAACGTAGAGCACATCTGATTGTGATAGATGCTGAATCCAGCACAAACAGTTTGAATCAGTCAGAGAATGATCGATATGTGCCCTCAGGGTTTTCGGATGCTGGTTAAGAGGAGAATCCCACTTCTTGAATTCAAGATTAAAAGTGTTAATGATGTTCTCATCTCTTTTTTTCCTGTTTTTTTTTTAAATAAATTATTTTCCAATAAAATATTCTACATCAGCAGGCCTCAGCAGATGGATTGTTTGTGCATTATAAAATGTTATTATTATGAGTTCTGCCTGTATTAATTGAAGCGCACTACATGAAGCCACATTACTGTACACAAACTTCAGAACACAATACCTTCTCATTTAATAGACTGGGCTTATCAGAGAGTCAGATGCAAGGTGGAACAGATGGTCCTTTTTTCTGGATCCATTTTCCCTCCCCGTTGCACTGCAATAAAGATTTACACCCCAAAACAATTTGGTAAAACAAAAGGTTGTGCTCAAATCAAGGTTGGCATTTAATATTTGTATGCGGTCTGTTAATTGTTACGAAAGCAATGTATGTCATTCAGGAGCTAAAACATGTTGGCTGAGATCAGTAGGCATCTGCCCTTCATTTCTTGTATCCAAGTGACCCTTCTGTGGTGCTTCTACGAAGACCGCAGCAGGGGGTCGAGCGAAAAGCAACATAAATTTCAGAGCGCGAATCAATAAATGGTGTAAGCTGTAAGAGATACAGTCGTTCTAATACTCCAGTTACAATTACTTGAGCAGAGGGGAAAATCACACACACAAATGCACACATGGCTGTGGCACTGTATTGCTTGTTGGAAATATACAAACCACCTGGGGAATAATAAAAGGTTGTGAGCTTCTTCACTTTTAAGAGAAACAGGACCTCAGAAAAATCAGTCAAGAGTTACAGTATACACATCATACTTGGCTAGTGTGGGACATAACATGCATAGATTAGATCTTAAAATTAAAATGTCAAAGAAATCTACTATCTATCTCGCATTATTTGTTAATCCCCTAGCTCAATATATTCACAAAGATGTGTAAATGGTATATGATTAAACATAATTTTGACTTCAACACCTGCTTTACTCATTTTATTATTAATATCAGGTGTACTGCAAAAACATTTTTTATTGCTAAGTCTTATTTTCACAGTTTTATTTTTGCTGTGATTACTCTTTAATGTTTGAATCCATCAGAATATTAAAGAGTGCTATTTGAAAAAATCTAAATAATGCATATTTTATTTAATATTTTTAAACTTCACATAACATTTAATTATGAAAATCTTTCATTTCTAGGGAATAAACTAATCTTTCACTAACAGTTAACAGTTTTAGATGTACTGTGAGTGTTTTTATTATTTTTGCATTTTTTGTACATAATTTTGTTCATAAAACTAGCTTCTTCGGTGTCACAAAATAATCATAGGAATCTAGCACCAGTTTTAAGCATCTTCCCTGTGTCCGAAGAAAAACTGAGGAGAAACACTCTCCCACAGGAGATAAAAATAGCAACATTGGTGTTCTTGTGTGTCAATGTTAGGACACCCAGTGGGGTGTATTCTTCAAAGCAAGTGGAAAATTCTAAAAAACAACTGCTAATGGTTTGAAATTAAAGGAGGGCTTTGTTTATTTTGGTCTGATCCTCTTTCCCCTTCTTTTATATATTTTTTCTCTTTTCTCTTGTTTATTTGTGCGAAGAAAAACAAGCATCAAATCTTGCAGCGAAATTAGTATAAAACAGAAAAGTATTCATTTTTAATACAAGGTAATCGATAAGTTGCGTTTTCATTAATGGTCTTTATTTAACGGATCATACAAATGAAAAAAAAAAACTCTAATACATGTGAGCAGTTAAGGTTATTCTGTTATTATAACTTTTCACCTCAAATGTAACAATTCAACGTTAAATGTTTCAAAAGTTGTTTAGAATACAAGAGTGGAAGTTAGAGTTGTTGTCACTGGCATGATTATTTTTTAAAATGTAAAGGAATTGCTTTCCCTTTGAAAGACCTGCCTATTTTGCTTAACAGCTGGTGGGAAATGAAAATGACCTAGCTGGACAAGGGAGGTCAAAGGGTGAACACACATCAAGATTTTTTACTGATAAATATCAAGGGCAGAGAGGTCACACAAAATCTCGTTGTTGTTTTTTTTTTTATTCCATGAAGAAAAGGATTATACAGTATTTTGAATGCCAGGAGAGCATGGTATTGTTTGGTTGTGGCTTGTTTCTGTTGCATTGTGGGAAGAGGCTCTCAGCCCTCAGCAGGCTTCTGGCTGTGCTGTCCAGTCCTCAGGTGCTGTCAGTCTTCTTTCAGCCATATTAATTACTGAATAAAGACTGTAATCCCGTCCCTTTGAAGCACCAGGCCAGTTTTAAGGCAGCACTGTGAAAGAAATATACCACTGAAAAAAAGCATATACCCCCCTATCCCCCCACCTTAGGTCTAAATCAACTTGATTTACTGTGTTTACATTGGTGATCACAGGATGACATGTTTGGCTGCTTAGCAGAAACTGTAAGGATTACAGTCTTGAAAGATACGTTTCTTTTCCTTATGATGAAGCCCATATATAATTTCATCCAAGGATTAGTGCCCCAGATTCTATGCTTTAAGCATCATTAGCATATAGTTCCACCAACATTTCTGTGCCATGAAGAGATCCGAAAAGTATTTGGTATCAGTAATGGAAATCTTAATTTGATTGTTCACATTAGTTTCTCTGTGAATGTCATATTCGTCACTTTTGAAAGCAGTAAAATGAAAGGTTGTTAATTTTTTTAATACTATAGACTGACAAAAGCCCTTAAGGATATAGGGTGTTATCCATAAATCTGAAAATTATATTAAGTGGAGAAAGGGAACATGCAAGTTGGTTTTACATTTATTTTATTCTGGCACGTGAGTCAAAAATAAATAGTGCTACACATGTTTATTTTGGGAAGAATTATAAGCAGGGCTTTCTCGCAGATTTGCCAAGGAAAGGTCTGCACTTCTTTTTTTTTTTAAGATCAAAGGGAGATCCCACTGCATGGTTTTAGGAGACTCGCTGCTATCATGCCTCATTGGCACAAAATATTCATGCAGCATGATCCACTGTCTTAAGAAAGCGATTGGACAAAAAGAGAGGGTCATCTTTAGGTCCTCGCTTCTCCATGTAACACTAGGGGCAATCGGGGCTTCAGAGAACCTGCCAGTTATACACAAGACAGTGCTATTGCGGTTATTTTTCTGCATGTTGTTTCAGCTGGGAGGCTGGTTGCAAAGGGATCTGTCAAAGAGTTTTAATACTGCCCTCTTGTGCTTAGTTTAATACAATATATCAAGTGTTTCTGTCCCTGCAGTACACCTTTCCTGTTCTGTTTCTTCATGAGCAACATTAGAACACTTTCCTAATCCTCCTTTATAATTAGACCAAAACATGTTTCATTTCGCTTTATGAAATGGCGGGTTATTTCAGGGTGAAGTTTAGCTCTGATTTTAAAGCATCCGAAGGTTTTTTTTTTCATCCTCAAACACCTGCCAACGCCAAACGTAGAAAATGTGTACGCATGTACTGAGGGCAGCATAACTGCAGATATCCAGGTTCTAACAGAAGCATTCACCTACCAACCGTCGATAAATATGTATATGAATTACCGAATATCTAAATTAACAGCATGTTCAAACAACCGCATTTAACCTTCGTTAAAACAGCAAATCGGGGACATGAAAAAAGGTGCTGTAATATTTGCGAGGATCTGTGATTTTATTCTATTATTCTTCTATTAATCTTTTCATTTCGAATTTTCGTTTTTAAAATACACAATTGATTCATCTGTTCTCTATTCATCTACGCATACAAATTACAACGAGCAATTTTAAAAGCTTATTAGAAGGTTCACCGAGGTCATCTTCCTAATAAAGTTTAGCGATTTTTGCAGTGGTCCAATTACTATCCTAAAGGTAGAAAATATAGGATGAATCTTATTATTAACTCAAGTATCTGCACATAATGACAAGAAGTGACGCCAAATAGTTTCACTTGTAGGCTTGTTACACAAGATTTAATTTAAAGCGGAGATGATGATCAGCTGTAATGTTTCATGCCTTTTAATTGTGTGACGCAGGCACAACTTTGACGTGTTTTGAATCTACTCACCTGAGCACCATCGTTGATTGGGTATGTATCTAAGCAAAAAAAAAAACCGCAGGCTGACAGTTAAAAGCGTTTCTCTTTGCAGCAGAAATAAACAAAAAACAGGCAATGTTTGAGTTTATAGCTTAATTTCATTTGTTGGACCTAATACGCAATGTATATTTGGTAAAAAAAAAAAAGCATCGAACTGCGGGACTAGATACTGGTTCGCTTAATGCTTCGGTTTGACATCTGCACGTATCAAAGTTTGAATTTTCAAAGCAGTGGCCCACTGTGAGAAGCAACAACCCAACCATTTCTCTTTAGTTGCAGATTAACCATTTCATTTATTGCAAGTTTTAAACCAGACCTACAACCAGTTGATCTTTAGAAAGTATTTTTTTTAAAAAAACTGAATAAATGGCAAAAAGAGGAAAATAAAGTGCTTCATATATGTTCTTGAGGTTTCTCTAATCATTAGGACTGATTTATAAAATGCAGGCTTGAATGTGTTTAGGCTTCCTGCAGGGCAGTAGTCTGTTTCTCTGTCACTCCCACTCGTGCCCTTGTAATCATCACTCAAAACTGTGTCCTGCTACTTTAAGTTCCCTCTCCGTTGATTGAACACCTCGTTCGGCGTTAACGAGAAAGCCGAGGTTTGTATGGGGAATAGTCAGAAAATTGCTAATGTTTCGGCTCATCACGAGTTACTGTGCGTTTACTTCATTTGGAAACTATTTAACCCCACATTATAGGTCGCGTAGATACCGTATTTTCTTGTTGTGGATTTTTCTTATTATTGTTACACTTTGTTATTCGAGTTTGTTCGTACGTGTTTTTAAAAGCTGTATTTTTCCTACGTGACTTGTGAGTACAGTACATGCTTCTGTTATTACAGAAGACTATGTAGGCCTAATGTTTACCCCATCGATTTTCAGTTATGGTGCCAAATTCCTAATTAATTTAGGTTGAATGTCACAGGCATTTAAACTGGTTTCTGAAGACATTCTGTTTATAAAGCATGATCCCTAACGAACCAAAAGTCATAAGGAGTAACGAGTGAACTGCCCATTATTTTAAAGTATGACTGTTTCTTCATTGTAATTTAGAATGAACCCTTTTGGCCTTTGTATATGATAATGGCACGCTGTTACCTTTCAAAATGCCGAAATATTTTGTTTCTGTGCTTGCTGACACGACACTTGGGGAAAAAATATTTTGACAAGTACCGTTTTCAACAGAATGTGAAGTTTAAAATTCCCTGTTAATTGCCACTTCTGGTGAATGTGTCTGGAGCTTCACAGCATTGAGAAAAAGACACTTTCCTGTGCATTGCAAAATGAAACTGCAACTGAACTTGGCCTTCAGGGCATTAAGAGAGATTGGACCGACTTAAAATTTGATTTTCATTTAAGGGATTTTAAAAACTTACCAATTTTATTAATAAGTTTTTATCTCGATTATTTACATATTTCATTTAGCAAATGTTGGGTAATGAAGTAAACTGTGTTTATTTGTAAATTTTCTATTCCTTGTGCTTGTTGATTAGTATGCCCATATGTGTTTTATTTTTATTCTTCACATACAGCTAATAAAATGTTGAAACTTTGTGTAAGCCTACAGTATGTTTCAGTAATGTGATTTAAACGAATGTTTTATAAGTTAAGGTTTTGGGAATGGAGAGTTTGTTGTTTACTACTGGCTAACCCTACCCCAACCCCCCCCAACAACTAAGATGAACATTTTTTTGTACTATGGTGAATATGGCAAATTTAGCCTCTTTAAGAAAAATGTTGTAAATGAGCTAAGATGCTGTTTAAACATGGTGTGTTTATATATACAGCTGTATGATATTTAGACATTATCCTGAAATCTAATTTTGTCTTGTGTTCAGTTTTTTAAATGACCCATTTACACTTTAAAGGGAGAAGCATTAAACCTGTAACATCTATTTCTAATCGTACATTTTCCATCTTTCATATGAACCTAATTAACCGGGTCCCAGGATCAGCAGTTGCTGGTCACTGGGTTGGGATGCACTGATATAATCTGATCAGCCAGGTGTGATGCCCTGGACAGATGTTCACAAGGAATGCTTGGAATCACTGTCAGCGTGTTCATTCTCATTCCTCACAAGACAATTATGCTTTCTTTTATTTGTAAAATTGTAACTTAATCTTACTTTGTTCTCTGTGGTATTTTCTAGCTACTTGTTAAATAAGATATCTGGCCTAAATAGCCACCTTGGGTTTGTCTTGGGTTTTTTAACCTTGTTTTTAAATTAATTTCAGCATGAGTGTAGAAGAGCTTCATGACTTAAAAAGCATTCGTATTATACATTTTTAAGACTTGGATATATTAACTGAATTTAACATTTAGGCTACAACGTTTGAAAAACTTTATATATCCCTTCTACGTTTTCTGCTATGAGTGGGAATACAGCTGTATACAGTAGGTGTATAAAGATGTTAACCTATATAAGGAGTTTGGATATAAATCAAATCTGTAGCGCCACTAAAAAAAAAAAGATCAACTGGTTCATCTCAGGTTTTCAGGTAGCTGTCAATTCAGTTTTTGACTGATCTGTACAACTTTCTGACTAAGAGGGGAACAAATCTTATTCATGATTAATAAGATTCACAGAAGTAACTGAAAATCTCACTTTGGAGAATGGGCCATTACCATTAAGATTAAGAATGTTTTTGGATAAACAAGTGCACCCTGTATATCTTTTTTTCCCCCTCAACATGTAATTTTGATTACAATATTGTTTATTGATTATTGATTACAATATACAACATTACAATATATAATTTGTGTACAATATACGCTTAGAATTTTCCACTATGGCTTTCCATAGTGCTATTTGGAAGATTCTGCTGTTTAATTTCACTCTTCTTGTACCTTTTGTACCAACGACTGAGAAGATTTATGATGAATGAATGTGATTGAAATTGTCATCTGAGAGGTATAACAATACATGGAAACAGTTCTGCTATGAAGCAGCAAGTGACCAACTCCCAACGGGATTCTGCCCAAACCTTCAATGGGTTGAAGGTTAACATTCCTTTGTGGTTTCAGTGACTGTGTTCCCATGCTTTTTACTTTTTCCACATCTGGGTTGGTGTGTCCTCAGGGATAATGCTTTGGGATTCTACTTGGGATAGTGGTGTCTCAAGGCCCCTTTAACTGTTATGGAATAGTAAATAGGCTGTCATGGTTTCTTCATAAAATGTTCAATAAAACATTGTATTGACAATCCAATTATGATGCTTAGAATTTCTGTGTGTATATATATATATGAAGCAATTCTTCAGAAGTTGTTTTGTCAGAATCCACAGCACTTTGTAGTCGGAGGATGGGGAGTTGCAAGAGGCTTTAAGAACAGACAGGAGGAGGTTAAGAAGCAATGGTTGTAGAAATTCAAGAAGCCGAAGTCTATCTCAGCAAGCAGTGGTTTCAAGGGTGGGTACACATTGGACAGGACGGCGGTCCATTACAGAGTGCACACAGCCGCAAAAACTCCAGTGTACACTGACTTGCACCAGGGCCAAACTTCCCCAAAGCCAATGAACTAATTCCTTTTTGATTGTGAGGAGGAAACTGGAGTACCTGGAGGAAACCTTCATAAACACTGGGAGAACATACAAACTCCGCTCAAATAACACTCCTGGTCCAGAACTGAACTTGGGGCTGGTGGGGGTACAGCTCTGTGCCATTGTGCCATCCAGTGATCGACCTTTCAGCTAGATTTTTTTTTTCATCTGTTAAGTGTAAGCTATACTATACTTGTACATTTTTCTGCAGTGTGGGCCTTAAAAAGCATACTGTCGACATTTGCAGTGAAGAAAAGGCCGTCACATTTTGCCTCGCTGCATGCTTAGATAGGATAGATGGAATCTCCAGTATAATAGGGGTTTAATATACTGTACAACATAATCAGATTTTTTTTTTAATGGGTCTTATTCATTTGTATAGAAAACGCTTAAAGGCCATTTGTAGTAAATGCAGCATCAACTATAAAGGATATTGTATTTAGAAATTATGATCGATTGTATCATAGTAAAGCTGGATTTAACATGCCCCATACATCTTGGTTGTTCCGTAAAAATAATAAAAAATGAATGCATTTCGGAAAGCTGAAATCCATCCTCCTGTCGCCAAAGGATCTCTTTACCCAATATCAGTTATCAGCTTAATATAATATTGTTGACTTAACAATGATGTATTTGAACCTGAAGGCAGTATTCCATTTTGAGTTAATAAATTGTTTTCAGCTGTGTTAAGGGGTGTTTTATTATTTTAGAAGGGTGGCTAAGAAACATGAATATGGTGGTCTTTTCATCACTGCAAGCGATATTCAATTTCTAGACTTGACATTTATCAGAGTGGCAGGAAGTATTAAACCAGTGAAAGACAGTTATTAACTTCCCTGAAGTACATGCCTTTATACTTTGTAGTCATAAGCCATGGGAAAAATTCACTTGGCATTTTCTCTGTAGCAACTGTGCTGTTGTTTATAATTTGATGGAAAATTGATTAATTGCACATTTAACTCAATGCACAATCCTCTGCACTGTAATAAATTATGGTCATTAATCAATAAGCACAAAGTAATTCCATGAGTCTGGGGACATGCTGGTTTCTAATAGAAAAACTTGCGCTTAGGCCTTCTTGCCAGTGACCACTTCATTTGAGGTGTTCTGCACCTGCCTCAATCCAATTAGATGACATAATTAATGAATTTCAATATAACTGATAATGCATTATGTCATTTGGTTTACCTTTCAATTTTTAATGTACAACAATTTAGCTACCTTTAGAAGGAATTACAATTGTACGTGGTGTTGGAAGTTGTACGTTTTGCCAAAATCTTTGCTTTCAAACTCATGTTTAAATTTACCCAAGCTAGACCAATAGGCACGCTTTTGTAGTAATAATTGGTAAATAGGTGATGAATAGGAAGAAAGCAGAGACAGACATGAGATATAATGTGTATTTGATGCGTACAGTACCTTCTGCCTATATTATACTGTTCATTGACTCCATTCATAAAACATGGACATATATTAAGCACAGCTATTGTACATACACTGTCATGTTGCATTTTTGGGTTCTTACCTTATTAAGCACAAAATGTTCACACACCCGGTCCAGAGACCTGGGGGGAAAAAACAAATGAATCAGTTTCTTCCAAATCAAAGACTTGGAATTATTCAGGAGTGAAAACGTCTCTATCTTCAACTTGAACTTTGCCATATTTTCCCAGCTTTTTAAAAAGAAATTAGGATTCTTTCTTGGATTTCTTAGAATGCCAACTTCTCTCGCCCTTGGCTTTGGGATCACTTTTCTTGGGAGAATGGCTGTTGAAGGAAGTATACAGCATAAAGTATTCAGGCTATTTACACCGAGATGGGCAACGTAAGTTAATTTACCTGATAGTGTTCATATGAACATTCCTGTAGCATATGTTCAATTGAAAGTAGAATTAAAATGGTGTTGGGTCGCTTTTTTGTCACCAAAAAAGATTGAATTACGTTTTAAACGTGCTTTTGTTGTGTGAGAAATCAAGATTTCATATCAAAGCAGCAGTGACAAAATCCTGACTAACTTTGCTATCTTTTCATTCTTATGGGGAAACTGAAGCAGTTATTTCCTTGTAGATACCTAAGTCAATGGAACTGAAGCCATTTTATTCCAATTTTAAAAAAAGATCTCAGCTAATATAAATGAACAAAATAATTATTTAAATTCCAAGTCTTCCTTGAAAACAATTAACTGCCTCTGTAAGAATGAATGACTGAAAAGGTTTTTCTAACTACCTGAAAAGCACTTTGCCCATCTAATGCCTCCTAAGCTGTCATTGTGCTTGAACTTCAGTCGTGGTGATTAATGAAAAGCTGTGGGGCACAGCTAGAAGCTAAAGTCTCAATTATGAAAAAAGCAGTAACTAGTTCAATGTGCTGATGCCTTTATTCTACTGACAGCTGTGAAAAATAGCAATATTTCTAATCAGGCTTTAATAATTCATTATTAATTTATTGGCATTCGAAATGCACTCTCTAGTCCTGCCTGCTATCCACGAAACGAATACTGCTTCTGAAACGAGAAGCAGGCTGGATCTGTTTAGGCTCTGAGATACAGTATACACAAGGTTATGATAGCACTTTTTAAATAAATAATCCTGCAGCAAAATTAATTGATTAGTTATTGCATCTGCTAGCTACCCCCGATTCATTTGTGAGGACAATACAAAAGGTTGTAGGTTCAAGAGGATCCAGAGCTCCAGTATCCAGAAAGATAATATTTATAGCTCTTAACATAGCAAATTAGCTACCATGTTTGAGTGGAGAAATTATTTTTACAAGTTTTTTTGGCCATTTTGCTAGCATAATTATATTTTATGTTCTGAACAGTACATTTTTATCTATGACAGACCACATGGCTTTTTATATGAAAACTGATGGAAAAGGAACACTTATTACCAGAGTACTTTAAAAATGGGGACAATTTGCCATATTCCCTCATTATACCTAAAGTGACTCGAAACATAGTTTATAGAAGAAGATAAGTGAGTTTAATATGCACTGGAGGGTAAAAGAAAAATTCTATTACCGAATGTAGAAATTACCTCATAAAGAAACTAATATGGCAATCTAGGGAGCAATTTTTAATAAGATTTTTATGATGCACAGTTGTAGTTATGTTAATGAAGTTATCATTTTACTTATTTTCTCCTGGTAATGTTGGTTTCGTGTTTCAAATTTATGCAAATCTGTGTTAACTGTTACTAATGAAATTCATTACTATAATGAATACAAAATGTAGTTATTTATTCCCTGTTAGCCCTTCAGTTGTCTTTTTTGTGCCATATGTGCAGATAAAAGAAGATTTGTAAGATATAAAACTGTGCCTTACAACATCACAGCCCCATATAAAACAAGGTTATTGTATCTTGTGAGAACATATTAACACTCTACGCCTGCTGCTGTTTGTGTTAATTATAAGGGGTACCTAATGACTATCAGCTTTACAGTACATGAAACTCCGTATTTATGAGTTTAATTTGTGAGAAAGGTACACCATATGAATAAATACTTAAAGCCAGTAAATTGTGTATATTATGTTTACACTGTGGAATGGTGGTTAACATTGTTGCATCATAACTCTTGCGTGCTGAATACACACCTGGAAGGAGGCCCCTTGAGGTGGAGTTTGCATGTTTACCCCTTAGGTACATGGGTTTTTTCCAGGTGCTCTTGTTTCTTCCTCCTCTCAAAGATGGTTTAATGGCAGCTCTAGATTGTATGCTTCTTTTCTGTACTTGCACTCTTTCCCAGAATAGGTTTCAGCTCACTGCAGCTCTGTATATATCCATATATTTTTGGTAACCACTTATTTCAAGACCTAAGAACCTAAAAAAGGTTACAAACAAGAGGAGGCCATTTAGCCCATGTGACTCACTTGGTAGTTAGCAGTTCATTGATCTCATCCACCAACTTCTTGAAAGAAACCAGAGTATCAGCTTCCACAGCATGGCCAGTCAGCTTGTTCCAGACTCCCACAACCCACCTACTTTTCCTAGGTTTCACCTACAGTAGTTTCACCTAGTTTGTCCTCTAGTTCATCTTTAACTATTCATTCCAAAGATAGGTTAGAACCCAGTCATTACGTTGACGTTGATAGTGCCTTTAAGGATTTTGATTTTGTTATATCATGTCAATCAATTGCTTTTAAACACTTTAAAGGTTCAGTTCCTTCAGCCTTCAGTCTAGTGTAGGACATTCCCAGTCCTGGAATGTGTTTTTTTGCTCTTCTCTGGACTGATACAGAGCAGCAATATGTTGTCTACAACACGGTAACCAAAATTGTACACCATATGCTAAATTAGGCCTTACTAGTGTGGTCAAAACAATTTTAATATAATATCCCTACAGAAATTCTACTGTTCTGGCTGTATGTCTCATCTTTTTATTTTCCTTTTTTTATTGCTTACCCATGTTGTGTAGAAGACATGGATTGTCAACATAAACGCAAAGTACTTTTTTAAGTACTAGCATACTCTAGCAAATGTATATTCCCCATTTTGTATTTATAGTTTGTTTTTTAGAACCTTTGAGCAAAGCCATGCACTTGTCTTCATTAAATATATTCTGTCAGGTGTTTTCCCAAGGTCTTTGAATTTTATCTGTTTTTGAATTTCATATGATGCTTCTACAGTGTTCACTGATTCTCTCAGTTCAGTAACATCCGTAAAGACTTAAAATACAGACATTACTTGTGAAATCATCCTTTATTCTTGCTTTTGACTGCTGCTGATTTAATGCAATGGCCTAGTCTCTCAGTGTTTATTGAAGCAATTGAAGCATTTTTTATATATAAGGGAACAAGTAATATGTTTATTCCATGCTGAAAAAAAGAAGAAAGAGAACACAACGTTTCGGCCGTGGAGCCTTCTTCAGGTGTGGAGCCTTCTTCAGGTGTTTTTTATATATATATATGGAAGCTTATTGGGAGGTCTCTGCCCAAACCAAGCTCCTCCCTCTCAAATGAATAAATGAATAATAAACAAGTATTATAAACGAACACAGAAGAGTAATGAAAAGGACATTCCAGAAGCCAAGGATATTTTTAAGTGCACAACTTGGTGTGCTATTTACAAACAGGCAATACTGAGAGAATCCTATTGCAGACTACAGTAAATTACTGTTTAGAGTACTGGTCATAGCATTTGCCACACTTCATTACCTTCTGTTCAGTTGTAATTTACAGTTGTACAGATCATAGCAATGTTTCCTAGTGTTGCAATAGAAGAAGCCTTCAAAGTTTTCATTAAATGTCCTGAAAGTGTTGTCCTTTTCTGTCCTCCTCCATCCCAGTCCTGCTCAAAGCAAAAGTAAAGATGTACAGTGCCTATAGAAAGTCTGCACCCCCCTTGGAGTTTTTCCACATTTTATTGTGTTACAGCATGGAACCATGATGTATTTAACTGAGAATATTTGCCACTCATCAACACAAAGGACTCTATGAATGCATTTGTATTCACCCCCTTGCTTTGACACACCTAAATTCCCTCTGAACTAACAAACTCTATTCTCCAAGTCGCATAACTACTTGACTGGAGTCCACCTGTCTGCAGTTGAAGTGTTTCACATGATTTCAGAATAAATACACCTGTGTGTGAATCTGCCCTGAGCTGTCCGTCCTACAAAACTGAGTGTCCAGGCAAGAAGAGCCATAGTAAGGGGGGCCACCAAGAGGCCTACGTCAACTCTAAAGGAGTTACAGTCCTCCATGACAGAGATGGGAGAAACTGTGCATGAGACAACAATAGCACGCACACTTCATAAATCTGGCTTGTATGGAATGGTGGAAAGAAGAAAGCCTTTGTTGAACAAAACTCATATCCCATCTCGGCTGGAGTTTGCCCAAAGGCAATGTAAGAGACTCAACAATTTGGGAAATTGTATGGTCTGATTAGACCAAAATTGAACTTTGTTTGGCTCAAACCTAACACAGCACATCACACTGAGAACACCATCCCTACAGTGAAGCATGGTGGTGGCAGCATCATGCTTTGGGGATGCTTCTCAACGGCAGGGATGAAAACTCATAAAGATAGAAGGAAAAATGGATGGAGCTAAGTACAGAAAAATCCTGGAGGAAAACGTGCTGCAATCTGCAAGAGCACTGGGACTTGGAAGACGATTCATCTTCCAACAGGACAATGACCCGAAACATACAGCAAAAGCTACATTGGAGTGGCTTAAAACCTAAAAGGTTAATGTCCTGGAGTGGCCAAGATCAAATTGAGCATCTGTGGAATGACTTTAAAATTGCTGTTCACAAACAGTCCCCATCCAATTTGATGGAGCCTGCGGAATTTTGCCAAGAAGAATGGGCAAAACTTCCAGTGTCAAGATGTGCAAGACTGATAGAGACATACCCAAAGATACTCACAGCTGTAATTGCTGCCAAAGGTGGTCTTACCAAGTATTAACTCTGGCAGGGGGGGGTACTTTGTGTTGATGAGTGGCAAAAATTCTCAGTTAAATACATCATGGTTCCATGCTGTAACACTATAACATGTGAAAAAGTCCAAGGGGGGTGTAGACTTTCTAGAGGCACTGTACACCATTGTAAATTGTCGCCAGCAATATAAGTGATGTTTCCACATCAGTTCATATTAAATGTGAATTGGAAGGGATTAGAAACATTGCAAATAAGCACATACTGTAGCTCTCTATGTGCATTCCTTTTTCACGTTCTAGATACGGTGTGTAAAAGGGGTTTTATACTCTATATTATGTATGCTTTCAGACACCCGATCAATCAGTATTTTATGTTGCGCATTTAAAAAACATACAGTAAATGCCATTAAAACTTATTTATAGTGGCGATTGTCATAAAGCCTTTTATTCCTTTAACAATGGGTTCAAGGCAGCACTATACCCTGGATGGAATGCCAGTCTGTCACAGGGAGCACACACCAATACACAGGGACAATTCCAAAACCCTAGCTAGCGTGTCTCTGGAAGGTGACACTTATATTTGATGCTAAGCTGTTTAGTTGTGCCTGTGGTTGGTCAGTTCTTTTCGCTAGTTGCTGGCGTGGATGCCTTCATTGCACTGCAATCACACCTAAACCATTCGCTTGCATCCAGTGTGAATGCACCTTTTTACTAACTTATTTACTAACTTTTTTACTAACTTTTTACTGTATATTTTCTAGATTCTTTATTTCTTCTGTTTCAGCCTTTTGTCATTTCTAGTGTTGTAAATTTCTGTGCATTATCATACTTCATTCATTGACACATTTCATTCACTGAATTGGTTGTCTTACCACACTATGGCAGCCAGTGACCTCCTTAAATTATGCATTTTTAATTTTAGTTATTTTGAGGGAACCATTAGGATAATGTATATATTTGTGCACTTAGCTTTTGTAGGAACTGGATACACATAGTTGAAAAACAAGTGAAGAATTCCATATTAAATTAGGTATTGATAATATGATTGAACAAACTATGATTGCTTTACTGTCTTAAATAATAAATAGAAACAACTTTGTATCTCAGGGGTGTACAACTCTGGTACTAGAAACCCTTAATCCAGTAATTCTTATAAAGTACCTGATATCACCTATTTCTATGGAGTGATAAAGCTTGTAGGTTATTGATCAATTAACCTGCAAGCATTATGGATTAATCATTTCTAATCATTCAGTTAAGAAAACTGATCCTTAAGGGCTTAAAGGTACTTAGGGTTTTGTTCAGAGTTCTCTAAATTTATGAATTTGACAAATCACCCATTTAATTATTCACTCTTAAATTGTTTGTGATCTTTATAATTTAGATTAGTGTTGGTCAGTAAAACGTCATTGGTTGTGTCTTACCTCACAGTTATTATACCTCTATACCTCTACACAGACATTGAGAAAACGAGGAAGTGTTAACGAGTTTCTTTGACTTCTCCACCCTTCGCAACATTCTTATTTTGACAGGTTGTAAGGTCTGCAGAAGCACACAAGTTGTGTGGTGCTAATTGGAGGAAATGCATGTCCCTCACTGATATTAATACAAACCTGCAGTTGTCTGTAAGGTTCACTTTTTCATTGGGATCCTAGTGTTTTCTAGTTCACTGGTTGGTTCCTGCTTTACCAGCTCTTGATAATAATTACCCCTTTTTTCCACTGTCCATTCTGTACTAGGAGTCAGAATAAAAATTGAGAGTTCCCCTAGTAATAAGTAGTCAGTGTTGACTGCTGCCAGCAGAGAAATTCTTATCAATCAAATATTTTGAATATGATATCAAGCACCATCTCTGAAAACGTGCACAAATACAGACTGAAAAAGAGTGATGACAACTGGTTAAGAATTCTCACTAAAATGTAGGTTGATCTCTATGTCCCAAGGATTGTAGGTTCAGCTCACCAGCCAACTGAGTTCACCACATAATGGACAATGGACAATGGGCTGAGTGCTGCCAATGGAAGGGTTTGGATTAGAAGGAAAGTGTTATCAGTTCCTGATGCACAGCAGCCCTTGTGAAATCTGGGGTGTTTACTGCTTTCTAGTTCTGTTGGCAAAGGATGTGCCCATGGAATCTACCTTCATCTCCAAATCTCCAGCATGGAGGTGTGTAGCCTGTGATGTGTTAAAAGATGTGTGTTTTGAGGTTGGGAGGGGCAGAGGAATGTGCATACATTCTTCATTCTGTCCCGTGTGTTGTGGCAGTGTTCATATCCATGAGCTGAGACGATTGGGTGGTTTTATCAAGGTCTAATTGGCTGTTCTACATTTAACAATTTTCAGTGTGGAACATGCAACTCTGTCAAAATTTTTAAATATGAGCCTGAACATATTGTATTAATCAGCATAGATAACAATGGGATGTGTTTCCACTC